CTGAGGAATGGTTGTGTCTCAATGACAAATTGGAAGCGAGAAACTTTTCCCCGGATACGTAAATCGACCGGTGATGTTGCTGCAAGCCAACTGCTCGTTTCCGCAGTTGCATCATATGCACCGAAGGAGAACGTCTGTGCAGCTGCAATGCGAACTTCGCCCAGGTGTTGGCTATTCTCCAGATGTTGAATATTCTTCTGTTTTGCCCTAAGTAACATTCCTTGACTCCTTTCCGAAATGTCGAAAAAGTCGTCGAAATATTCATCTCATTAACCTTTGGCACTCTGCATTATTAATGGTACTTCCCTTTCCACTCTGCCTTTTTTCAAGGCTTCTCAGTTGCAGTATCCTTATTGTTAATTTCACTCAGAGTTGTTCTCTGTTGCCATAGTAGGATATGACAACACAACTATGAAATTCAAACACTCTCTTGTTCAGGGATCTCAGTGGCAGGATAACATTTTTGTACAGCAAATGAAGTCAATTACAGAGTGATAAATGTTAGTATGTGAAAGATTGACGAAGGTAAAAAAAAAAAAAGATCAACGAGTTCATATTAACATGGAAAAATAATTTATTCCTTCGGATGAAGTAAGAGTGAACCTGTACTCATGTCTGTTCTTCATAAAAACGACATCAAGTAAATTATATTCTACTGATAATATATTTTCTTATCTTGCCCAAATCAAGTTGACTTAATGAGAGTTTAAAATCATACACCCTCATGTTAGATGTAAAATATTCAATTTATTTTCTGCAAACAAAAACAAAAAAAACCGCAAAAAGTTATTAAAAAGTTTAGTTCTGACATTATCCTTTCTTTATTTCTCATTTTTTAACCTTTGACACTTTTCATTATTAATATTACTTCCTTTACCGCTGCATTCTTTTTCAAATCCTCTCAATTGCTGTATCGTTATTGTTAATTTCTCTCAGAGTTCTTTTATGTTACCATAGCAGGATATGATAACACAACTATGAAATTCAAACACCCTCTTGTTCAGGTATCAGAGTCACCTTCAGCGGCAGGATAAAATTTTTGTACAGCAAATTAAGTCACTTACAGATAAATGTTAGTATGTGAAAGACTGACGAAGTTAATAAAAGATCAAGGAGGTCATTTTAACATGTAAAAATGATTTATTCCTCGGAATCTTTCTGGACCCCGCATTTCTGTTGTTCCAAGTCTCTTCTTCTGTGAGGAGATTGTCCAGCATTCATTGCCATATAGGAGGCCTGATGATACATAAATGTTTAATATTCTTTTCTTTGTTTCTGTTGCTTCAGGTCTCTTCTTCATCTGCGAGCGATTGTCTAGCATTCACTGCCATATAGGAGGATTGATATTACATAACACTTCAATACACTTTTCTTTGTCTCTATTATGACAAGTATAAAAGTGTCGTGCCAAACAATTTTTGGGATGGACCTGTACTCATAAAAGTGACATCAAGTAAATTATTCTATTGATATATTTTAATATCTAGCCCAAATTAAGATGACTTAATGTGACATTCACCTGGAAAATGAGTTTAAAATCATACACCCTGATGTTAGAGGAAAAATATTCAATAAATTTCCTACAAACAAAAAAACAATTCACAAAATGTCATTGAAAAGTTTAGTTCTTTTTGTTTATTTCACACTAGCAGCATGGCCCGACGTTGCCTGTGCTTGATTCAAAAATAGTACGACTCATACAGCAATCGCTATCACTTGACTTAAAATATTTTTGCCCTTCCTTGCCTTTAAAGGAGTGCCCTTTGCCGTGCTGATGTTGCTACATGCCTTACTTCTTGCCTATCTCACACTGCGAATTTTTCTAAGCTCTATACTAAACATTAAATCTGTTACGAAAAAAAGAACTAAACAAAATGAACACAAAACGATCAGCTTTAAAAAGGACTCGTAACTGGAAAAACCGAATGAAAAAAAATGTTAACAACAAATACTTTTCACACCCAACCCAGTTCTGTGGAATCAGAATCAACGTTGAGTTTAAGCAAGCGAATGAGCCAACTGGAGTAAATGGACATGCAGATTTAAATTTTTCCAACTTGTGACGAATGCAGTTATCGATTTTTTTTGCATGCTAGTTAACATTCGTGTCAGTCAGCTGTTGGCTCTCACGCTGGCCAATAGAATCTTCCTGCCTATTCGTGGCAGCCAGCTATTGGCTCTCACTCTGGTCAGTAGAAAATGGCCGCAAACTACATGAAATCTGCCGTAGAAGCATGTAAAAATCGATTATTTCCACTATCGATGGGAGTTGGGAAATGCAAAGTCAGTCTTGGCCTGTTTACTAACTTGGGGCATGTGCATGTAAATTTGGGTGCAAATCCGTCGAAAATTGCGGCCGTGCATTCGTTACACACACACACACACACACATACACACACACACACACACACAAACACACACACAACCTGCCTTTTATGGATTGAGATTTGTTAACTTTTGACACTGCATTATTAATATTATTTCCTTTTCTACTACCTTCTTTTTCAAGTCCTCTTAGTTGCTTATATCCTTATTGCTAATTTCACTCAGACTAGTTTTCAAGTTGCCATAGCTGGATTTGACAACACAACTATGAAATTCATACACACTATTTTTCAGGAATCAGTGTTACCTTCAGTGTCATGATAGACCTATTTGTACAGCTAATGAAGTCACTAAGTGATAATGTTTACAAATAAAATTATTCTTTTATAACGGTATACGAAATTAAACTGGAAGGTCTTTAATTTTATAGGAGGTCAAGGAAGACATTTTACAAACTGGGTGGTGATACAAACTGTATGTATATGATAAAACATTGTTTTAAAAAAATCTCAAAGAGTGCTATTAATCTAAGAAAGAATATCTTCACAAACCTTGTGACCAGGCACGTATCATCATCATAGATTGGTTTCTACACAACAGCAAAGGAAAATCGAGACAGCTAGTGACGCCCTCATCATAGAGTTGTATCAAGTAAATTTTTAGCAAGGACTGAATAACACGTTTAGTATATTATCTACAATACATTTTACCATCGTCATTTTAACATTGCAAATTCCACCAAGAGGCATTTTCAATACTTTCTAATCGTCAGAGAGAACCATTTTTGTCCCCATCAGTATGGCTGATGCCAACCTCTAGGAGAGCAACACTTTGTGTCTGCTTGAACTCAAGTTTTCCAATGACATAAAGTAGGATGATTATATTGAATCTATTGCTAGGTTTGCTACTAGGAAAGTGGGTTCACTGTATCTAGCCAAACAATTTTTCTTTTCGGGATCTGTCTTGCATATTTATAAATCTACCATTCGTCCTTGTATTGAATACTGCTACCATATCTAGTCTGGTGATCCTTCTCTATATCTCGAGTTACTTGACTAAATTAAAAGAATCGAATATATATAATCGATCCTGACCTGGCATCTCGTCTTCAGTCACTTCCTCACAGACGTGCTGTGGCATCCCTCTGTCTTTTCTACAAATATTTTCAAGGCAACTGCTCTGACGTGCTACATTCACTGGTACTCAAACTGTCTGAATTTAAGCGTGCTACTAGGCATCTCAGTCCCACCCTCTTTCACTGTCGAAACAATTAAATGTAACCGCCTCTTCTGCTCAAACAGCTGCTTCTATCGCACTTTCTGACAGTGAAACTCCCTTCCCCTTGATTCCCTGATAGCTATTAATAATATTAAAATATTTAAATGTAATTATTGTGGTAAACCCTCTTACAGTATAAATGAACTCTTCCTTCTCTCATAAATACAAACTGCAAAGCTAGATAGATGAACGCAGAGTGTGAAATTAGATGATAGTAGGAACGCAGAGTGTGAAGTGGAATGGAGAACATAGCATAGACACAGTGCTAATCTACTTATTACTAATACTATTGTTTTGTATATATAGATATATAGATAGATAATGAACGTAATTGATAGATAGATATAGATGATAGATAGATAGATAGATAATGAATGAACGTAGATAGATAGATAGATAGATAGATAGATAGATAGATAGATATAGATAGATAGATAATAGATGATAATGAACAGATAGATTGCAATTGGATGAATATAGATAGATAGATAGATAGATAATGAACGTAATTGCATAGATAGATAGATAGATAGATAGATAGATAGATAGATAGATAATGAAATGAACGTAATTGTATAGATAGATAGATAGATAGATAGATAGAACGTAATTGCATAGATAGATAGATAGAATAGAACGATATAATGATAATAGATAGATAATAATAGATTAGATAATGCATAGATAGATAGAGATGATAATGAACGTAATTGCATAGATAGATAGATAGATAGATAGATAGATAGATAGATAATGAACATGATAGATAATAATGAACGTAATTGCATAGATAGATAGATAGATAGATAATGAATGAACAATTGATAGATAGATAGATAGATAGATGAGATAGATGAATAGATAATGTATTGATATAATAATGATATAGATAGATAGATAGACAATAGATAGATTGCAGATAGATAGATAGATAGATAGATAGATAGATAGATAGAATGAAACGTAATTGCATAGATAGATAGATAGATGAATAGATAATGAACATGAATAGATAGATAGATAATGAACGTAATTGCATAGATAGATAGATAGATAGATAAATAGATAATGAACGTAATTGGATAGATAGATAGATAGATAGATAGATAGATAGATAGATAGATAGATAGATAGATAAATGATAATGATAATGAATAGATAGATAGATAGATAATGAACATGATTGCATAGATAGATAGATAATAGATACATGATAGATAGATGATGAGATAGATAATTGAACATAGATGCATAGATAGATAGATAGATAGATAGATAGATAGATAGATAATAATGAACATGATTGCATAGATAGATAGATAGATAGATAATAGAATAAACAATGATTGCATAATATGGACATGAGATAGATAGATAGATAGATAGATAAATAGATAATGAACGTAATTGTATAGATAGATAGATAGATAGATAGATAGATAATGAACATGATTGCATAGATAGATAGATAGATAGATAGATAATGAACGTAATTGCATAGATAGATAGATAGATAGATAGATAGATAGATAGATATAGATAGATAGATAATGAACGTAATTGTATAGATAGATAGATAGATAGATAGATAGATAGATAGATAATGAACATGATTGCATAGATAATGAATAATAGATAGATGATAGATAGATAGATGAATAGATTGCATAGATATAGATAGATAGATAGATAGATAGATAGATAGATAATGAACGTAATTGCATAGATAGATAGATAGATAGATAGATAGATAGATAGATAGATAGATAATGAACATGATTGCATAGATAGATAGATAATGAACGTAATTGCATAGATAGATAGATAGATAGATAGATAGATAGATAGATAGATAATTGCATAGATAGATTGCATAGATATAGATAGATAGATAATGAATAATGAACATGATTGCATAGATTGCATAGATAGATAGATAGATAGATGAGATAGAGATAATGAACGATGGATAATTGTAGATAGATAGATAGATAGATAGATAGATAGATAGATAGATAATGAACATGATTGCATAGATAGATAGATAGATAGATAATGAACGTAATTGCATAGATAGATAGATAGATAGATAGATAGATAATGAACGTAATTGTATAGATAGATAGATAGATAGATAGATAGATAGATAGATAGATAATGAACATGATTGCATAGATAGATAGATAGATAGATAATGATAATGATAGATAGATAGATAGATAGATAGATAGATAGATAGATAATAATGAACATAGATATAATAGATAATGAACGTAATTGAATAATAGATAGATAGATAGATAGATAGATAATGAAACATAGATAGATAGATAGATAGATAGATAGATAATGAACATGATAGATAGATAGATATAGATAGATAGATAGATAATAGAACATAATTGCATAGATAGAATAGATAGATAGATAGATGATTGCATAGATAATGATAATGAATGGAATGAATGAGATAGATAGATAAATGAACGTAACGTAATTGTATAGATAGATAGATATGATAGATAATATATAATGATAGATAGATAGATATAGATTGCATAGATAGATGAATGAATAGATGAATAGATACATGATTGATAGATAGATGAATAGATAATGAACGTAATTGCATAGATAGATAGATAATGAACGTATATAGATAGATAGATAGATAGATAGATAGATAATGAACATGATAGATAGATAGATAGATAATGAACAGATTGCATAGATAGATAGATAATGAACGTATATTGATAGATAGATAGATATTGCATAGATAGATAGATAGAAATGATAAATAGATAGATAATGAACGCATAGATAGATAGATAGATAGATAGAATAGATAATGAATGTATAGATCATGATGATAGATAGATAGATAATGATAGATAGATAGATAGATAGATAGATAGATAGATAATGAACGTAATTGTATGGATATAGATAGATAGATAAATGAGAATGAACGATAGATAGATAGATAGATAGATAGATGATAGATGAATAATGAACATGATTATAGATGGATAGATAGATATAGATAGTAGATTGATATAATAGATAGATATAGATAGATGGATGATAGATAGATAGATGGATGAATAATGAACATAGATAGATAGATAGATATAGATAGATAATGAACATGATTGCATGTATGATGAATGTGGACATTAGATGGATAGATAGATAGATAGATAGATAGATAGATAATGAACGTAATTGCATAGATAGATAGATAGATAGATAGATAGATAGATAGATAGATAATGAACATGATTGCATAGATAGATAGATAATGAACGTAATTGCATAGATAGATTGATAGAGATAGATAGATGATTGGATAGATAGATGAATAATGAACGTAATGCATAGATAGATAGATGATGATTGATAGATAGATAGATGATAGATAATATGATTGCATGAATGTAGATAGATAGATAGATAGATAATGAACGTAATTGCATAGATAGATAGATAGATAGATAGATAGATAGATAGATAGATAATGAACGTAATTGTATAGATAGATAGATAGATAGATAGATAATGAACATGATTGCATAGATAGATAGATAGATAATGAACGTAATTGCATAGATAGATAGATAGATAGATAGATGATAGATAAATAGATAATGAACGTAATTGTATAGATAGATAGATAGATAGATAGATAGATATGATAGATATGATTGATGATAGATAATGAAATAGATAGATAATGAACGATTGAATGATAGATAGATAGATAGATAGATAGATAGATAGATAGATAGATAACGTAATTGCATAGATAGATAGATAGATAGATAGATAGATAGATATGAATAGATAGATAGATAATGAATAAATAGATAATGAACGTGGTGTATAGATAGATAGAATGATAGATAATGAACGTAATTGATAGATAGATAGATTGCATAGATAGATTGATAATATAGATAGATAGATAGATAGATAGATAATGGATAATACCCCTAGATGAGATAATGATAGACTGGAATTGAATGTGCATCTAATGATATAATAGATAGATAGATAGATAGATAATAGAAGGATACAAAATAATGAACATGATTGAGATAGAATGGTTGGGCTAAGATGAATTTTAATGTTACGTAATTGTATAATGGATAGATAGATTTCTAAATAGATAAATAATGAACTGATTGCATAGATAGATAGATGAGTCTGACGATAGATACAGAGTGTGAAGTGGATAGTGGAGTAGCAGAAGGCTAATCTACTTATTACTAACACTATTGTTTTTGTATATATCTTCAATATACTTTTTTCAACCGACCTTCGTCTTCCGTGTCTTTCTTACTGGTCCCTAAATAGGCCACAATAGTAATGTCAATCGACATCTTCTGATGATTTGATGTTAATCCCCGTCCTTCTCTTATCCTTTCTTCAAATAACTATCTTTACTCTTGTTCTCACTCTCTGTAATCCCTTGCGTGTTAGTGGCACTTCCGCCTTGCTTGTGATGAAATGCTTTACAAATGGCAACCAAGATGAGCATGCTGGTCCCAACAGTGCTTTCATTTATTCACCACAGAGAACCTCTTCTGCCTTCCATCAGCCTCACCGATGCTTAACTCCGGGAGAGCAATACTTTGTGCCTTCTCGGACTAACGTGCTCTGCTGACGTGAAGTTGAAAGATTATATTGAATCAATTGCTAGGTCTGACGCTAGGAAAGTTCATTCACTGTGTCGTGGCAGACTTCTTTTCTCATCAGAATTTACCTTGCATATTTATAAATCTACCATTCGTCCGTGATTTTAACATTGCAAATTCCACCAAGAAGTATTTTCAATACTTTATAATCGTCACAGAGAAACATTTTTGTCCCGATCAGTATGGCTGATGCCAACCTCTAGGAGAGCAACACTTTCTGTCTGCTTGGACTCACTGCTTGACAGGATTCAAAGAATTGAATGTATTCGGTTGGTGCAAAAATAATGACGTAATAATGTCGTTTTTTACGTTAAGAAATACGTCCAAAAACGACATTATTACGTCATTATTTTTGCACCAACCTAATATATAATCGATCCTGACCTGGCATCTCGTCTTCAGTCACTTTCTCACAGACATGCTGTGGATTCCGCCTTTTCCTTTTCTTTTTTTTTTTTTTCTCTACCAATATTTCCATGGCAATAGTTCCGATGAACTTTCATTTTTGGTGCAGCAACTTTTATTAAGCACGCTACTAGCCTTCCATTTATTTCTCACTGTTTTTTTCTGCTGAACTCGCTAGACGCAACCGTTTTCTCGGACTTCTCGCCTGTGGAACGCACTTCCAATTTCTTGCTTCCCTGTCACTAACAATCTACAAATTTATATGCAAACTCAGTCGCCATCTTGTCATCCTGTACCGTGTTACTTTATTGTCACTTCTCCTCACTAAAGTCTTCTCAGTCTCTTTCACTTCCTGTAGCCCCCTGCGTTCGAGTGGTATTGTGGTCTTGCTTGGGGGTGAAATGATTAAAAAAAAACGCCCTCGTCAGCTTCATCACGGAAAACTTCTATGTTTTTAACTGTTTCCTCAACCCAACTGCAACTGCGTGTGATGGCGGGAAACAAGCTAGTTTGAGTGACCATTTCCCCTGAGTAGTGAGCTTGATCCTCGCTGTATATACCTTACTCGTGGCCTACCTATATCCTTGTGCAAATTAATTATGCAGGAAGATGTGGAGGGCCATGTAAATTAATTGAAACAAAACGAATATTTTTTTATTATTTAGATTTTTTCGTAATTTTCCAATGAAACATGACCCAGTGCAGATGTTACTACTTCGTATGTCCATTCCACGCTGTTCCTTGCTGATTGACCACAGATTCTCGATTGGATTTAAATCAGAAGAGTTTCCGGGTCAGTCTATAGTACTTTGCTTTGTTCACTGGGAAGGCCTGCCAGTTTGTTCGTACAGCGTTACAATTTTCTTATGTCTCCCTGGAGTAACGTCCATAGTCGTAGGACAACGAATCGACAGTCGAGACATTAGTGTCTGGACGTGATGAAAATCCGATGCAATCAAGGATGATGCCATATTTTTCATGGCCAAACAAATTTCGTCATACACCCCGAAAATAAATTCATATTGTTGCACACCACTGCAAATGACGTAATCTGAGGAAAAAATTGATTGCACCCTATTACTCCAGTGGGTCTAAAACTGACCGTATGGTGAAATAAAGGAAACTAAAGCGTTTGTTCCAATTAATCTGCACAAGGATGTAGGTAAATGACAATGAGTTAATTTTAATAGAAATAGATCGGTTCGCCTATCGTCTGGATCACACTCCTTTCCGGGTTTTTGAACAGGAGTAGAGGTTTATTCATTGTTTTCTATTTATGATTAGGTTCCCAGTTCCTTCTAAAGTCATTTAATTCTCCTTCACTCCCGGTAGACCCTTGTGCCTCAGGGGCATTAATTCAAATCTATACTTCTAACGTCTCCATTTAAACTCTCAAGATTATAATATTGTTAAGTCTGCTCTTCTAATATATTCTTCTTCTTACATTATTCGGCCTGTTATCCTTATCTTTATTGTTTATATCCACAACGTCTCGGCCGTTGCACGCTCCGGCCTTCTTCAAGTAATTGGAATTTCGGACCGAACCCTTTATTTCGTCCACCGCAGTAGATTGTTCTAGTTCCACGTGCCAATCACCTGAAGAAGGCCGGTGCGTACAACGGCCGAAACGTTGTGAATATGGCAATGAAACTGACGATAACAGTCTGAATAATGTTAATAACGAAAGTAATCATAATACCTCATCTCAGAGATATAGACATGTATTATCCTTCTCTCTGACTTCTAGTAGGTTCCCTTGACGTCTGAATGGCGTTATCTCCTTACTCGGGGCGAATTGATTTTTAAAAACAAAAGCAAAAAAAAAAATTCTCATATTTTTCTCAAAGAAGAGACTATAAAATATATTTTCAAGGCGTTATTGTTGCCTTCCGACATCAGCTGATTGTGTCGATATTCGATCAACTCCAACCAATACGAATTGAACCCAATTTGGAGCCTGTCTATATTTCTGAGATGAGGTATTATGTACATTATTTACATTATTCGGAATATTGTCCTCATCTTTGTCGCCATATTTATCACAACGTTTCAGCCAGAGAAAAGCAATGATAACAACAAAGTTGCAATATGAGCTCTGGTAAAAACACGAAATGATAACAGCAAAAATGCAATATGAGCACTGGTAAAAATGGTTGCTGAAGGTTTATAATACCCAGAGTAGACCCAGAATTTCATGCCCAGATGTCTTTAAGGACACATGGCACAGTGGATAAAGGCGTTGGTTAGATCCAGTGACAAAGACCCAAAGAGTGTGAGTTCAATACCCGGTTAAGGCAGTGGAGAACTTTCAGAGGGAAAATTAACAGGAGATAACTGATAGCTGACATCCATTAAAACATGGTACGTGAGAACTAGAACAGTCTACCCCAATGAGCGAAATAAAGAGTTAAGTTCGACCTTCCAACCACCTCAGGAAGGCCGAAGCGTACAACGGCCGAAACGTTGTGATAAATATGGCGACAAAGATGAGGAGAATTGTCTGAATAATGAACCCAATTTCTTAATTTTTTTTTCCCTATTTTCTTTCTTTTTATCTTCTCGTCTTATATGTTTACTTTTTGTTGCTCTTTTCTTTCTTTCTTGTTTTTTTTTTCCTTTTTTTCTTTTGTTTTTTCCTGCTTTTCTTTATTTGATCCTTCTCTCTCTCTCTCTCTCATTTTTTCCTCTCGTTGCTTCTTTAGTTTTTCCTTTTCCTTTTATATATATTTTTTAGTTTTCTTCTTTACTCCGTCTCTACTTTCGTCTTTACTTTCTTCATTCGTTCATTTTTTTCTTTTTTCATTCATTCTTACATACTTTGTTTCCAGATAGACGCTTCTTTTTCTCTCTTTATTTTTTTCTACTGTTTTTATTCTTTTCTTTTCATTCTTATTTCTAAACTTCTTTCTTTCTTTCACTACTTTTCTCCTGTCGTTTCTTTTTTTTTCCTTCGTCTATCAGTTCTTCATTTTTTTCTTTCAATATTCCTTCTTTCTCTTTTTTATTTCTTTTCCTCGTAACCATACTTCTTATTATCTTCTTTTTCCATTTTTCTTTCTTTCTTTCTTTCTTTCTTTCTTTCTCTTAGGATTTCTTTCTCACTGATTTTCTGTTCGTGTTCTTTCTTTCTTTCTTATTTCTTTCTTTCTCTCTTCTTTCTTTCTTTCTTTCTTTCTTTCTTTCTCACTGATTTTCTGTTTGTGTTCTGTCTTTCTTCTTTCTTTCTTTCTTTCTTTCTTTTTTTCTTTCTTTCTTCTTTCTTTCTTTCTTTCTGTTACGATTTCTTTATCATTGATTTTGTTCTTGTTCTTTCTTTCTTTCTCATAGATTTTCTGTTTGTGTTCTTTCTTTCTTTCTTTCTTTCTTTCTGTTTACGATTTCTTTTCACTGATTTTCTGTTTATGTTCTTTCTTTCTTTCTTTCTTTTTCTTCTTTCTTTTTCTTCTTTTCTTTCTTTCCTTCTTTTTTCTTTCTTTCTTTCTTTTCTGTTTCCTTTTCTTTCTTTCTTTCTTTTATTTTCTTTCTCACTGATTTTTCTGTTTGTGTTCTTTCTTTCTTTTCTTCTTTCTTTCTTTCTTTCTTTTTCTTTCTTTCTTTCTTTCCTTCTGTTCTTTCTTTCTCACTTTTTCTTTTTTTCTTTCTTTTACTTTCTTCTTTCTTTCTTTCTTTCTTTCTTCTTTTTTCTTTCTTTCCTTCTTCTTACGATTTCTTTTCTCACTGATTTTCTGTTTTATGTTCTTTCTTTCTTTCTTTCTTCTTTTCTTTTCTTTCTTTCTTTCTTTTACGATTTCA